TGCTCCCCTCTCCTCCAGTCCACTCCCCTCCCCTCCCCTCCTCTCCCACTCCTGCTCCACTGTCAATACTGAACACTGAGGGATTCTGGTGATAGCCCAAACACAGTTATTTCAGCAACTGCAGTAAAGTCAAGATCCCCACAGTGCCCTATGAATAACCTTAATCATGACCTCAGAGGTTTCCTCTCTAAGAAAAGCAACTTTATTTTTCAGGCTTACTGAAAATGCTTATGAATTTGATAGAACTAAATTAAAAGGAGCTAAAACGTATGGTGTTTGCTAAGTCTTATACAGGGTATTAATGGCACCTGATTATTTCATAACACCTTTTAATAAGGATTCTGAAAACTTATAAATTATGTCTTATATGTTATGTTAGAGATAGGTAATTATGTGTGCACTGAAAGATGTAAATTTTTCAAAGTTTAACAGTATGGCAATATTAGTCATACAGATCTTAAGCCAGCTAATTAATGTAACCTGATAAAATGCTCATGCTTTTGTTATTCCTCTACATTCTACATTAAATCAATTCAGTCATTGTGAATTTTTATTCTTCTTTGTTAACACTTATTTAATGAAGGGAAAACACAACAAGTTCCATGTATTTTAGTTCAAAGAAAAATATATTTTTCCTTTAGCTCTTAACACTAAACACCAAACACTAAAGTATATTTAAATAATAAAATATATTTTGTACTATTTTTCTGGTAACCCATCTCATTCCTTTAATATTGCTTTTCATTGACTGTTATGCAAAATGCATTTTGTGCATGTGGAATGCACAAATGTTATTAAAATTTATTTTACTTTTCAGGAGACCTCACTTATGTATCTCAACTTACATAACTAAATAGGATACGTGACATTTATTGGTTATGTTTGGACTTTAACATACAGGTGCATTTTTTTTCTTAATATATGATTTTAGAAAATAGCAAATAGTTGATTTATTGGGATTGTAACATTTCTTCCTTGATAAACATAAAAAATAGAATTAGTATTTTTACCAAAAATTTCTTAAATAACCACTTAAAAAGAAAGATTAAGGGTAAAGAGGTTTTTTTTTTTAAATTTTCATTCAACACCATATTTGTTAAGTGATACATGGACAGTTTGAAGGAAATTCTGCACTGTATCTTGAGTAAATAATAGCTGTGACTGATGGACAGTAATGCCTTTCAAAGACCTCTTGTGATGCTCAAAACCACATGAATGAGGCCTTGAGTGGTTTTTGCGGCCATCAGGACTTCAACATAGAATTGTAACCAAAATAGGAACTGACCTGAACATTTATAGAAAAGTAAACTAACAACCTTCTTGAGTGCTCTCCGTGGTTTCTAGAATCCAAGTTTACCCTTTTCCTACTGGTTTTAGTGTTTTCTCTAAATGTCCTCTGCAAGTAAATCTCCTTTAAACAAACCATCCTGGAGAAAGTGCTGTCTTCTTGGTATTAGATTCAGATGCAAGAATACAATAGGAAAAGCAGGACAAAGACATTGGTTATTTTTATGTATCTTGAGAGTAGGTCATTTTTAAGTCCGGTTAAGATGGTCAACATGGTACAGCCACCCGGCAAGTCAGGATATACCACTTGATTGAACCTACATAGTTCCTGTGTCACTAAGTGTAGCATTTTACAGAAAGTATTCCCCATTCTCCCAGGCAGCTGGGAAGATACAAACCATCATTTCTCACAGCTCAGTTTTGCATCATACATATATATTAAATCAGCTGCTGGGATTTGAGCAACTAGTCCACAATAAAAGGACTTTGTGGTAAGAGGGAATCTACAGCCTAAGACATGTATAGTCTCTCTCTTTCTTCATATATACATAGATGGAGAGAAAGAGAGAGAGAGAATACAAACATACCTTAGGCTGCTGATAACGGCATTTCTGACAATAAGATTAATCTAAACTTATTTTTTTCCAGAAATGAATATGCAGGATATATATACTACCATTGCCTTCTTTTCTTGGTGTTGTAAGTTCTAAACATTTACATTGTTATGATATTTTTATATTAGAGGAGTGAAATGCTCATGAACTTTTCCACTGTTGTTACTTGAGAGTTGTAATTAAAAAAAAAAATTACATGATATATATTATTGTAGATACCCTCAATAAGGACATAAATGCAATCCACATATCTCTATTCTGATTGCTATTAGCTGCATTTACTTTTATTTTTGATATTTTTATGGTGCTTAAAATCCACTTTGTATTCACAATAACATTTCTATTGAGGGATTAACTTCCTTGACCCTGTTTTGCAAATGAAAACTGAATACATGCTAAGCTGGTAAAAGAATCTGTTTCGAATCAATAGCTCTCTGAATCTTCTTTGTTTATCCTACTAAACCATCTCTCTTTGTACTAAGTTTCAGTAAAACCAAATGGCAACCGTA